TTGGTTGGTACTAAGGCTGTTAAGTACGAAGGCGCGAAGCCTCTAACAATTTTATAAAATAAGATAAGTTTATTTTGGCGAAATAATACTTCAAGCGGTGTCCAACCTAACACTCCCAAGACATTTTCAGTAGTCGTTAAATGCAATGCACCGGTAACAAGTAATGCTGCTCTATATTGTAATCAGGTTAAGCATCCATGATTTTAGTTCACACGATGGGGAAGAACCGTGGTTCTAGACTCAAAAACCTCCTTTTCTGGAACCTTCGTAAGTCAAAACTAGCACATTCATGAAAGATCAGACAAATGTAACAACTTTAGGGTTTATAAAGTAAACATCGGGTTACAATATCGCTAAATTGAAATTGAGACTGTATCTGATCAAAGGAAAATGATTTTCCAGAAATCTCTTGAAAACTCTCTCCAGAACTTGTTAAGCATTCTAATTCTCAGCTAGATAGATGCTTCCAATCATCCTCGTTCTAGTGGTAAAAACGTGAACTAGATAGCTATCAGCATTCCCGAGTTATTCAACAAACAATCGAATGCATTCTATTTTGAAATCGACAGTAGTTAAATTACTGTATTGAACTTAAATTTTTATTCTAGTTATGATGTCCGCCTATTTGAATAAACATTTTACTAATGGATCCCATATGAATTGTTTTCTATTTGTTCCGGATATGTGTATTTAATTTATATTCAAGATTCGTGTTTTTTCAAACATAATAAAAATATAGTGTTTATATCGTTGCCTATTAAAAATGTGTTAGTCTTTCTCATGAGAACATATTATTAGTATTCTGTTTTTCTTATCGTTCTTTCAGAAAGAAAAAAACTCTCTCTATTCTTCATCTATTCTATTGTGTATCTAATACTAATGCAGTCGAATGTCACAGCGGCTTATGTGATTCGTTCATATCATCTGATTATTTTACCATTAACCACCATTCTAGGAACAGTATCGTCAATTATTTGTTTTGCTCATTTTTTTCGACAAACTTCTTCGCAACAATGTTTCAACTATATATTTTATTTTACTTTAATTTATTGTTTAATGGCCGGACTCTATGGTACACCGTCGTTTTTCCTTGGGTATTCGCCGTCTCTTTATTTATACGGAAAATCACAAATATTTTGTAAAATATATTTAATTTCTGTTTGGTCTTGTGGTTCAGGCATGGCACATAGTCTCGCTTGGGCCAGTGTTGAAAGACATTTTATATTGTTTCAAAAACCTTCTAAAAAAAGTTTAAAACGTCAATTGTTAAAATTCTTATTATCTTATCTAACAAATATAATGCTCACAAGTGTATTTATAGTACTACCACAATGTTCGTATATTCCATGTATCGCTTGTTTTAATTATCATCCAAAACTTGTTATTCTATGGTGTTGTTATTCGTTTTTTATTCCATTTGCAATAATGATTATGGCTACATTTATACTTATTTATCGCCTCTATTCAAAACAAAATAGTCTACATATACGCCAATGGAAGCCATTAAAAAATTTAACAATTCAAATTATCATCTACGTTTTATGGTTTTGTATTACTTACTGTCCAAGTCCATTATATCGTGTTCTAAAAACCTTTGATCCTAAACGATATAAATCTTCATTTATGAGCAATATTCTTGTTCTCTTTACGTATGCAGGTATTCAAACATATCCAATTCTCACACACATTTTACTGAAATCAAAACATAGACCACGTAAAAGAACGACATTTACAAATGAATTACCAATACTAATTGAAAGTAATTGATCTTTATATTTTTTTCGAAAGAATAAACGTATAAAATACAAAGAAAGAAATGAAGACATCACATTTATGACAAACTTTGTTATAGAAATTCTAAGCTAATCTAGTTTGAAACGGAGAACTATTCAGCGTTAAGATAGATCGAATAACGTTTTAAGAAATTTATCATCATTCAAATTCGCTGTAAGTTTACATAATTTATTAGTTCTTGCGTTTATAATACTAAGGCACCATAGGAAGAATCTATCATGCATCATATACTCACGAGAGAACGTTCCCAAACGTCAAATCGCTTTCGAGCCAAAACCTAGTGGACTATAGGTAGTCGACCATGTTGATTTTGAATATCAATATGAGACGAGCTGCTAGGCCTTCAGAGACTGATTTTCTCTAAAGCCAGTTTTTCAGAAACTCCAAAAATTAATCGAAACCTTTCTTAATGAGGCATGATTGTAGCCCGCAATTTCTGATTAAATTGAGACATCTTCCAGCTCTATACTACCTTTCTTTACAAAGTTGTAGACTTTACAAGAAAAGACCAATATGTTCATTGTCAGCTCAAAGCTACTGAAATAAGAAGAAATTAATTTAGGGCTTCTCTTGTAAATTCTATAACTTTGCAAAGAAAGGTCGTGTAGAACTATGTCTCATTTTAATCAGAAATGTGCGGGCTACAATCCTGTCGTATTAAAAAATTATTTTTCAGAGTTTCTGAAAAACTGGTTTTACAGAAAACCAGCCTCTGTAGGCTTAGCAGCCCATCTCATGTTGATATTCAGAATCAGCATGGTTGACTACCTATAGTCCACTTGGTTTTGACTCGAAAGCAATTTGACACTTGGGAACGTTCCCTCGTCACTTATACAACGGCTTCTAATGCCATTTTGAGAGTTAGGATTACTAGTGACTGGTTCTTGATTGTTCATCGCTATAAATATCTATCTGAATATCACCAGATGTCAGTATAAGTAACTCGATAAGCTCAATCAAATTGATAATACCAGATTCTGTTTGAAATTGTCAATGGATGACAGCATATTTTATAAATAGCTGTCCGATGGCTAATCATTTTCTAATATTCTGTATTCTGATAGTTTTAGATATTCTCAGCAAGCAACAGTTATTTTAATACTGATCACATTGTGGTACCACTGAGTGAAGGTACAGTATCGCACTCTTGAAGCAAAGAAAGAAAACAGGAAACATAAATAAATCCAGAAAAACGAATGCCTTAAATATGCGTCGCATTATGATGATTAAACTTCATGACAATGTGAAGGGTGTCAGAATATCAATACGCAGTGTATTCGCAAAAAGGGATTGTTTTTTTAGAACTTAGTGGGCTTGGTGTATTCTCATTGACAACACACAAATTTTGTACAGTGGTTCACTCTCATGCTGCACCTCTCCCCCATCCCGACCGCGACACTATATTATATATTGTCAATGACAATACACCAAGCCCAGCAAGCCTAGCACATTTTATAGAAATTTATATATTTGCGTATTCTGGTATATTCTCGTGTATTGTCAATGAGAATACACTAAGCCCAACAAACCCAGTAAGCCAGGAAATAGTATCTTTTTGAGAATACCCTGCGTACTGATATTCTGACATCTCTGGACAATATACGATCGAGAAAGATTCCCTGTTTCGAGTTATCGCAATTTGAATGAACTACCACTTGGACAAAAATCAGAGAAACGTTCTAGGCTATTACAAAAGCTGTAGGCTTCTGCTCTTTTCCCAGAAAAATTTAGTAGGTCACCCAAGAAAATTTTCGGATCATTCAGGTCAAATTTCGAAATTTCGTACTACTTCGGGACGGGTCGAGTAAAAAAGTCTTCCGGTCGAGTCGAGTTCGCGCCCACATAGAAAATATTGATTCGGGCCGGGTCAGGTTCGGGTCATCCACCTAAGACCCGATTCGGTCTCTGTTATCGATATCTTGGTGATTTAGATTTAGTTCGAGAATATGTTCAGTAATCCTTATCAAGGCTATTGGAAACAGAGCCATCAGCAGTGGCCATCAACAGATCCGATCGTGTCGCTCTATTGTTCTGTTGCAAGCAATTATTTGGAAAAAGGAAATTTAGGGTTGTCTTTGGAATATGCTCATTCTATAACTGAACTACGTCACCAATGGAAGCAAGATAATACAGGTGTAAATGATGAATATATTCCGATGCTTGATTTTGTTTACTACGGTGTCTATTCAAAAAAGTTTATTTGAAATTACGTGACTACGGCAGAGCATTAGAGTATAGCATGAAAGCTTTGGATATCTGTCACAATATTAATGATTCTCAGATACTCTCTGCATGTGTTGATCATATTATCGGACACACCTATTATTATCGTCATGATTATTTTACTGCAAAAGCATATTACGATGAGGCATTTGAAATAGTTAAAAAGTAGTATCCTGACAACGTCGATCATCCAGAGTTTGTTAACTGTTACTACTATTTAGGCCGCTATGCTTCGGCCATCAGTGATTGTCTACGTGCATCGCAATATTATGAACGAGGTATTGAAATTCAATTGAATCATCCTCCGTTCATCCTATTCTAGGACTACTTCTTAGCTCAGTATCTGTTATTTATAGCCGATATGTGAAATCAATTGAATATCTGATGAAAGCAGTAGATATTTTATCACCATCCTACAAACTTGATCTAATAGAGGTCTACGATCATTTAGCAGCAGCTTATCTACAGACAAATCAACTTATACTTTCCATAAAATACCGTCAGTTATCATGCATCATATACTCAGTTATACGACGGCTTCTAATGGCATTTTGAGGGTTACGATACTAGTGAATAATTTCTGATTGTTCATCGCTATAAATAAAAATTTATTGATAAAGAAGCTTCAATGTCAGTAGAATTCGACGATGAACCCTACAGAAGTTTTAGGATTTGTAAATTTTGTCCGGCGGAAATCACATTATGAGATCATAATTTTGCAAAAAACAGATGACTAAACCAGAAAAGGCGCTTTTATGAATCATAATAGCAAGCAATTGCGCTTTGCACAAGCTGCGATGTCAAAAGATTCCGTGGAATCTGTATTGTTCTTTATCAACTACTCAAGTCTTTGATGATTAGGCAATTGAAAACGAAATTCGAAATACAATGAAGAAAGAGACAGAAATTCTTTGTTGTTTTCGTTAGAAACGGCGCGAAATAAACATAATTTGTAGGATTTTCTGAAGTACAAAACGCATTTTTGCTTTACTTCTGTGCAAAATAGACTGACGAAGCAAGAATTGCCGACAGGCAACGCTCAATGTCCGGAAAACCTACTGCCGTTTTCAAAAGTTTGCTATGTGTTCGGGCTCTCTAGCTCAAATCGTGGGAATCTAGCAGAAAATGATGGCTAAAGAAGAGTAAAAAACTTTTTTTGGGGGATCAAAAAACCAGAATGTCTTTCGACATAAATTTCGCGAAGCAATAGAGGCCCGTAGAAAAGAGCTGGAGACAAAAAACTTGACCCCCATGCAACGTTGAGAGATAAGTAACCCAACTTTTGATGCTGCATTTCACACTGTGAATATCCTAGTCTAATACTCTCATTGGAGTAAATCCATGTGGAAGACACGATGAGTAACTCATTTTTTGATGAAGTTTTGATGTTGAATCCAATAGTAAAAACCGCTAATTTCTACCTTCCTTGAAAAATAGTTCTTTACAAAATATTTTCCCAGCAGAAAGTAGGATTTCCGCTCTCTGTTGCAAATCTTGTAGATATCAATGTCCTCAACGTAGAACCTTAAGTTGAACTTCAAGTGAAAGACCTCAGAGAGTGCCGATAAAAAAGTTCGGTGTGTGTGCTCCACATTTTGTATAATAGATTTTTGTAAAACCTGCTTTTTAAGAAAAACTCGCAGTCCTCAAAGACAGTACAAAATCATTTCTGAAACCACCATTCGATAGCCCGTTCCATTTGAATAATACGAGACGGCGAACATATTTTTACGATGCTCTAGTGAAGAATTGTCAGAAAAATACGTAAAAAGTTGTGTTTTCTTTGCAAATTTTCATTTTGATGCTAAACCTCCGACTCGTTACCTTTTTATTGCGTTTTCTGTACGTTTTTACTTACTGCCCAAGTCCATTATATCGTGTTCTAAAAACCTTTGATCCTAAACGATATAAATCTTCATTTATGAGCAATATTCTTGCTCTCTTTACGTATGCAGGCATTCAGACATACCCAATTCTCACACACATTCTACTGAAATCAAAACATAGACCACGTAAAAGAACGACATTTATAAATGAATTCAATCATTTAATTTAATACAATCATTAATTTAATCATTTTTTTTGTTTTTAAGTTGGTCTCTTCTTTCTCTTCTCTGTCTACTTCTTTCTGTTGCTACTCCAACATCAAAAGTGAACATGAAATAAAATTGCTAAAAATTAAAGAGAGTTGTGACAATCAAATGAAACGAATTGCCTAAGGATGGCATTTACTCAATCTGCAAATCAAGACACAGGCGGAGGCAGTGATAGATGTATATACAGCGGTTTGTGAAATAGTACCACCAATAACTCAATCGATTCAAATTGTTAACCAAGTACTTGAAAAAGTTAATTGCAACGTAACCGATGTAAATGAAAGACAACGGAATGATCAAATGCTAATTACTAAAGGGATGGACACAATAGACGATCCTCCTGTTACAAGATCCCTCTTGAACTCATAACGCAAAAACCACGTTAGAAGACCCCCTTCTTTTATCGATTTTTTGACCTAAAATATGTTGATTTTGAGGTTCAATCAAACACTAATCTTTGCGTTCGTCTTTTCCATCAGCTGTTTCCAGGTCGAATTCACCCGATCGGATCCTTTTAATTCCGATGATTTCCTGAGATCGGACGCCCGACCGGATCCGGAGATCGGAATCTGCTCAATTCCTTCGCGTTCCGATATTTTTTTGCTGGAGGATCCGGAGATATCCGGAACCAGGCGAATCCGTTAAGTTCCAGTGACCGGAAATCGACGGATCCTGTGATGTGAATTTTATTTTTTTTCTTTCCAGTGCGGATAATATATTCACCGTTTTGTTTCACGGCAGGAGCACTTTAAATACGACACTGCAAAAAATGAAAAATGAGAAGTTGTTCTTCTCAAATTCTTAACAATGTGAGTCATCGCTCACACTGTTCAACGGACGTGTTATACACGTCCTAGCTAGCGGGCTCCTCCACTCTGTTTAATGAACAGAGAGAAGAACCACTAGAAAATGAAAGAAAAAATTTAAGACTATTTTTAACCTTAAAATTGGTCACATTCTGCCAAATCCAGCGAAATCCGATTCATCGGCCGGAAGGGCCCAGAAGATGTCGGATCCGGTCGGATCTTTTCCAACATCTTCCGGCACGGATTCCGAGCAACGGATTTCCGACATGATCCGGTATGGTTGCTGCCTGATTTTACCGAATTCCACCAACTTCCGGCAGGATCCTGACGTCGGAATGGACGAGCTGGGTTAGAGTGAATATACAGCTGCTAGACAAAAAGAAGTGTGTGCGTACACAGCTTTGTACACAGTGCGAACTCTCGATCAAGCGATTTCAGCTTAAAATCGGCTTTTTGTCGGGACGCTTTAGAAGACCCCGTTCAAAGTTATGAGCGCTAGGACGCGATATAAGACCCGGGTCCTCTATTGCGTCCATCCCTTTACAAATCTTACCATTAACGCACTAAATGATCGCCTTCAACTGCTAACCGACCATCATCAAAAGCTACAAGCATTAACGATGAAACAAAATGATTTACTGTTGCAAGGTATGAACTCAATAGGCCAGTCTTTGAATGAGCAATAATACTTTTTATTTTTCTTCGCCAATAGTAAATAAAAGTGTGGTCTTAGAGTTTTTCGAAGGCACAGGTGGAGAAAAGAAAGTACTGTCAGATATGTGCGATGAATAGAATAGTAAAATCTCTCTTTCTGATATTTCTAAGAAGTGGCATAAGGAGAGACCTGTTTGTGATAGTGATAATCTCTTTCTTATTCTTTATAATTGTCAGTGTTTAAGTACTCATATTGTGGACCTTGATATCCTAATGTCTACTTTTACTCCTTATATATGCATTCTGACAGGTGTGGGTGCTAAGATTAAGAATTTACCCAAGCTAGAAGGGTACTATTGGAACAGCCCGGCAGGAGCCAACTCTTTTGAGGGTGTGGCTATGTTAATTCACAACACACTACAAACAAAAATAATTTGTCAAGATTTAAATTTTATCTTTGTTGAAATTGATCTAATACCAGAACCTATCCACATAGGTGCAATGTATGTACCAACAGGCACAAATTTTTCGACAGACTTATTCAATAAATTTGCAAACAAATCATTTTACATTTTCGGAGACTACAATGCAAAGCGCACTCAGTGGCTCTGCAAGGAAAATAATGTGAGTGGTGTCCAATTGAGAGATTGGTTAGAGAATACAGGATGCGAACTGATTGCGCCGGAAAAGCTAACTTCTAGCCGATCCGAAACAATAACTGACTTCGGCATCACTCACGACTCATCAGGATGGAGGACAGAGATAATCGATGAGGGCTCATCCGATCACTATCCCATGCTAATACAAGCTCCCTTCTCTGCGTCAGAGGAAAGGTTCTTCAAGAAAACAAGTTGGAGGTTATTTACTTATTTTTTACAAGTCACATATAAATATTTTAATTCTCTCGTTTACAATACGGATCCAGATACGTTTTTTTCTCTTCTCACATCTTTTCTTTCTTCACTGTCAGATAGGGTTAGCGAGTTCATTTCGGTTAAAAATATCGTGCACCGTGGCCGCCACAACTTATCAAACTTGCAAAAACATATAACAGAGTAAGAAAAAAAAAGTACAGAAAAACACGTCAACAGATTCACCTCGAGAAATACATATATTGGAAGAATATCTATTTTAATGAGAAGTGTTTGTATCAACAAAAACGGTTGAAAAATACTTTGTCTTACATCTCTCAAGGAAGTAATATCTGGAAGTACGTACACCCCACGTTTTATCCATATTCAATACCGTTCCGAGGACTTACAGTAGAAAATGGAGTGTTAAAAGATCATCAAGTAATTGCAGATACGCTAGCTAACTTTTATGAAAAACACTTCGAAGCTCCAGTGCATGATCCAAGAATATCGGCGCATGTGGAAGCGGTTGAAGTTTACAAAAGCGTTTCGTATATACCTAACATTCCATTAGAAAAGATTACTATGGAGGAGGTGGAAGAAACATGGTTAAAGATACAAAAAAAGAAATTTCCATTACGAAGGTACATTTGTTTTTATATTAAAACAACTTCCCGTAGAGTATTTAAAAATTGTAACGGTAGGATTCAACAAAGTTGCTCAGTTAGGAACAGTACTAAAATCAAGTAAGCATGGCAAAGTCATATGTCTCTCTAAGGATGGATTGTACCCGAGAGTGGATAGGCTCCGACCTATCTCACTGTTATCAAATTTCGGAAAGTGGTATGAACGTGTAGTACACGGTAGAATACTGAAATGGTGTCGAGAGAAAGGGGTATACGTGAATGAACAATCCGGATTTACTCCTGAAAGGAGACTGCAAACAAGAATTCTCTCACTAATTGAAGATCTACCACTGCCCGTGGCAGCGTGCAATAGGCACGCGTTAGTCATCTTTGTTGGTTTTATGTCTGCATTCGATAAAATGTGGCACCCAGCACTTTTAAAAACACTCCAAGAGTTGGAATTTTCACTTCCTCTTCTTCGCTGGATTTTCCTGTGGTTGCAGGAAAGAACAATGTCAGTCTATTTCGGGGAAGCTATCTCTCGTGTTATAGATATTTGCGTTGGTGCACCACAAGGATCGGTATTATCTGGCACTCTCTTCCGCCTTCATATTCATTTTCTTCCTTCTCTTTTTATGAATCTAGTGTGCCATCTTTTTGCGGACGACCTTGCGATTGTAATACCAGGAGCATTAGAAAAAAGATTTTCACAAAATGTTATAGAGATCGAAAAAAGAGCGGAAATTGCGATGGAAATCCTAGCAAAATATTCTGAGGAACATATTTTACTAGTAAATGTTCAAAAAGCAAAAGGTATGCTGGTTCACAGTGTTGTTTCATCGTGCCATCCGATTATTAAATACCGTGATATACAGATTGAATATGTCAAATTTTTTAAATATCTCAGAGTATATATAACAACTAAACTCGGATGTTTTTTTTTTATTGCTATGCATATACGTTTAATAAGAAATATATATGATGCATTAAGAATAATTTTCCGGAATATTCCAGTAATTTTTATAAATATTCGACGTATATTATTCTTAGCTTACGCGCTACCACACTTTATTTTTTTATTTTCAACTTGGTTTTTTTTATCGATATTCAGCAAAAATACATCGAGCACGTGTTCTACTCAGGTCTAAGAGTTATTTATAACCTATATAGCTGAGATGATATGACTACTATAATTTTATCTCAGGAGTTCAGTATACGAGATTATTTGTATCGTTATTGGATTAAGTACAGTAAATATTTAGAGAGAGCACACGAAGTGACGCAGTATCAGTTGACGTGGGCAGCATTTCTGGCGGCGAAAACCCCCCAAAGGAGCTGGTGCCGTTCTGTACTGTTTTGCAGGAAAAATAAGTTTATGTGTAGACTTACAAGCAGAGCTAAACACACAAAACTGGATATCATTGAATTTGTTTCTAATCATACGCCACAAATGGATGCTACAAATATTCCCCTTATATTCACATGTTCATATATAAATTTTTTCTACAACCCCCATAAACAAACATAAAATTCTATAGGTCTAGGATTTAGTTTCTGAGGTGTCTAATACGAATTTTACTACGCTTTTATGTTATTAGATTATATGTCTAACAGTAATTGTTCCTTGCTATAATCAAAATATTTAAATCTACTTATGTGCTTAATGTTTTATGTATTTTTTTCTTTTTTTTTCTCTTTTTCATTTCTTATTTGTTATTTCTCACTACCACTATCAGACTGGTGTCAGAAATTCTCTCTTTTATCGAATATACCTTTTCTGTTTTGTGTATTGTTTATCTCTTTTTTCGTCTAAATTGTCAACCTTATTACATCAGGATAATAAATAAATGTTTATGGTCAAATATTATCACGTTTATCAACGTTTTTTCTGACCTAACAATATTAATAAAGCTCTATCACCAGGTGTCACTGTGAAGAGACTGATCAGCACGTTTTTTGCACTATTCACCCGAGCTTGGATGCCGTCTTTTATTTAAACCGGTGTATTTCGTTCACATTTTTTATCAAAATGTCGTTGACCATTCACTCGTTTTCCACATAGAAAGCAATATTGCTGCTTACATGCACTACACACAATCCAATTATCTTGACCCATTTTCACACTGATCTGCTTACAAAATATATTGCAACATGTTCTCACTCGACTAAGCATCGCAGAGCCAATGGGCGATCGATTGTTAATCACAATTTTGGTTTCTTCTTTCTTTTGCTGCTGTTGCTGTTCTTCAGTCGGATTAGCTTGTATCTCTTCACTTTGTTGTGCCGTCTCTTCCTTAGGCGGTTTCTCTGAACAAAAATTATTATATAATGCTTTTTGTGAAAATATACCAGTATCGTACTGAAAAAGGTTACAAACCTTTCATTGCCACTTTATGCAGTTCTTCTTTGACAGATTTCACTTCGACAAATTCGTGTGCAGATTTTGTTAGAAATGAACCATCGATGGGTACCCGAGGCTCTGCCATCAGTTTCCAAGTAAAATCGAGATTACATTGTGAACAATGCATATGTGAACAACCGCCGTTTTTTTCGATTTTCACATGGCACCCGGGACACGACTGAGTATTAAGCAAATCCATTCGTTCAGCCGTCAATATTTCTTGCAATAGCAAATCTTCTTCGGCTTGTGTGAGCGCTATCTCACGGTATCCTTGTCTTCGTTTGGCAACAGAAAGTGCAGGAGCAACTGCCTTGGCTTGTTTTCCGTTTATAGTCGAGACTAAAGGAGGTTCTTGTAGTAGTCGACGTCGGTCGAGTTCTTTCTGTTTTCTGACCATCAGTTGTTCGATCAGATAATCTTTAGGACACATGGTCTGGGAGTGGAACGTTTCGTTGCATTTCTTACAAAATGCGTAATAACACCGATCACACATGGCCAAATTATCATCCCCAGCACCACTAATAACTGCCTGTTGACATCTGAAAACGACATTTATTCCATTATCGCTCTAACAATGAAGTTTACTACTAAAGCAAAGTTGGTGGAGATATAGACATTTCCCCTTTCAGTTATTTTTACTTGTCCCTTAGATTGTCGGAACTCTGTCAAGGACGATACATTAACTGTTGCAAACACGACGGCCTGTCTATCAGCAAAACTAAACAATTTATACTTACGCGCATGCGAATACAAGAAAAACTAGGCAAAGACGCTTAAAGTAGTCTCACGTGCAGACGTGCAGCAAGCACTCCTCCGTATTCTGAACAGTTGAAAGTCTCTTCAAAGACCTGCAAAAGGTTTTCAAGTGTTGTGAAAGATTCACCAACGCTGAATACATATTTTGACTGCGATCATCAAAACTTCAATGGTAATTGAACAACTTCGAATGCTTTATCAAATGTCCAATGAATGAGAAAAAGATTAAAAAAGCTCTGATCTTTCGAAAAACGTCTTAACGAATCCAGAACTAAAAGTTTCGATCAAATTCAAAAATTCCTGTAATAAAGATCATTCGACGCACTTCATCAAGATACTTTAGAATATGCTTTGGAGAACTATCGTAGTAAGTTGTTACTAACAAAAAAACATTTTTCTTGCACTATTTGTCAGAAAGATATTGAGTTATTATGTCAGTGCGTGATTTTAAGATGCCTTGCTGTGAGTATAAACTATTGAGAGTTTCAAATAACCTCAATGCATCGAAACGTTTTTTACGGATTCTCCGCCTAGAAAGGCATTGACTCGCTATTATGAAGAAATAGTTTTCTCGGAAATTTATGCGTTATCTTTTTTATGGGAGGAGTTGTTAGGGATGGACAAGAGCCTATATTATAGGCAAACATTTTTTGAGTTGGATATTAAATATCCAACCCAAAAAAAAGCAAGCAGTTTTGCATTACCTTGGACACCAAACAATGTCATTCATTGATTCGAGACCACGTTGTAGTGTTAACCGTTCGTATTTCTCATGTAGTTGATCATTTAGAACGATCTGTTTAATTTCAGTGGGTAGTAGAGGTTGTTGACATTGATTTTGCGGACAACGGAGTCTCTCTCCGAACTGACCGTTTTCAAGAGCCAATTGGGCGTAGTTATTCAGACACGCTCGACAATAGAAGTGACCACATCGATAGAGACGAATGCAGTCAAGGCCCGGAATATCATCAGCACAAATTAAACATGTTTGTAGTTGATGTCGGAATTGTTCATCTACACGTTCGTGGTTGTAGTCGATCAAGTGTCGGAATATTTGTGCAGCATGCTCATGTGAGTATGCGCTCATTGCTCTCGGATCATTCTCTTGTTCACCATCGTCAGCGGCAGCCGTCGTACAGAGAACGAGCTCATCGCTTATCTGATCTTTGATACACTCGATCCATTCATAGACACACACCTCTCCCTTTATCCACGGATAATTTTCGAGCTTTTGACAGAGTTTTCGTAAGTCAGATTTTGAAAAGTAGAAACACGAGAGAACAAAAGACGGTGGATAATCGCTTGGATATTCGTCGTGATTATTAATGGTTAGAGATAGTGGTGGCAAGTATTGAATGGGAGCTGTTTCAGTGTCGAGTTGAATCGTAAACTGAGGTGAAAGATCAAATTCGACCAATATTTCGTACTGATTATTGTCGCCCGGACGAAATTTTTTGTCAAATATCGACTGTAGCACGAGAATCTCGTCTGTCTGTTTTTCAACGTTTGACATATTTTACCTAGATCAATAGGATTCGTAGCACCAAGATGAACTATCTTTTTGTGTATATAACCATCAACTGTAAATTCTAAACTATACTAATTTAATGATTTTGATTGATTAAAAAATTGATATATTATAGAATTTTTCTGTCTTTCATACATCCTGAATGATGTAGTGACGCATCGGTGCCTCACTTTGTGCACTGAAAATGCATCTCATTTATATAGACGAAAGCACCCAAGCTGCATTGATGAAGCATTCACAGAATTTTTCGAAAACATGTTGAGCGCATAAAATGGGAGCCTAAGCTCTTTCCTGAAGCATCGTAGCGTGTTCTTTATATAAGAAATATTTTTATATTTATTAATGATGAAGCTGATACTGAGACATCTCAGATGTTATTTTTTTCAATAGCATCTTTTAACTCACTGTGGAGTGTGACTCACAGTTTTCAACGTTCAATAGAAGACTATGACATGCATCTACGTAAAACTTAATTCAAGTTTGGAGCTCACTATGGTGTTCTTCATTACTCAGAAACTACCGGATTGCCATAATACGAAAAAGGAATGAATCTTAAAATCTCGCGGGTTGTTTCAAAACACCAAACTCTCTTCTACATTTCTATTCACGAGTCAAATTCTCATCTGCCATAGTTTTTTTTTATAGGTACGCTGTCCTAAAGTGCTGTCTATCAAACGTTGAAAACTGCAAGTCTGTACATCTTTTAATCGAATGTTATTAAAAAACAGCCAGGACTATTCTATTTTGAAATGGATAGTAAATATTGCCAATTCATTGTTGCACATACTTGTAGTTGTCTGCATAAACTTTCTACATTATTTTACTCGCATGTTTCATATAACTTACCTCAAGCTGAAAAACACTTTTTCTTTCTCATTCAGTTCTCTCGTTTCCTTACCTATTTATTGACTCATGCGTTTATATTTTGTCAAGAAGTAAGTTGAATCATTTCAATAGTAATTACACAAGAAATAGAAAAGTTGTCTATCAGCAAATATCGTAGACCTGCAATATTTAGTGGGATACGTTAGAAATAGTGTAGACAATTTTTTTTTTAAACAAAACTGATCCTTTACAAAAATAAAATCGTTCGTTTCAAGATGATACACTAACATATTGAAAGTCGATAATTTTCTCCCAGCCATGCCGTCAGCTCCCACCAAATGATTCCGTCCGATACGTTCAGAATTCGTGGGTCATTTCTGAACTTTTGATGGTTTTGTGGGCATTTTCTGAATCCCCGGAAATTTTTGACCATAAAAAGATTTTGTTTTCAATATACGAAACTTAGGAAGGCTTCATAATTTAAGTTAGAAAGTTAAAAGCCAATATGTACAAAACTTTATTTACCGCCCACATTTTCTGTACGTATTATTCTTTGTGTATCTGTACAGGCTACAGACCATAACCATAGTAAAACACTTTTACATTTCATGATAGGATCTTAGAGAAATTCTATCAATATCTTTTCAGAATTCAGTTTACTTTTAGACAGGACCCTAATACCTGATAAAATCCTAATGAAATCCGTAACACCAGAAAGTCGTAAGATTTGCTAGAATTCTGTTAGGATGCAAATAAGACTGTAACAAGAATCTGCAATGATTTAACCTGGACAAAATCGTACATATATCCTAACGAATTTCTACTAGAATCCTAATTTAAGATTCTATAAGATTCTAGTAGGAAATACATTTGAAGTACGTAGGCTTATGTTTAGGGAAATATGTCTGTTAACTGGATCGATTGAATATTAGTTAATCATACTCCTGTATTTCTTAATCTGACAAAGCTTCACACGATACAACAATGGGATTATCCGACTACCAGTCAAATACTGTACGATAACTCATCACCAAATTTTATCGAATTGGCTGGCTTGAGCACGATTAGAATCATATATAAGAGCCAACTTGAGTTAAGACTAACTGATTATCTAGTATGAAAGCTCCTTTTAGAGAATGAATTTCTGCTATTTTCTAGTTTCGAATAGAAAAATACGACAAGAAAAGGATTTTTGATAGATTCGCACAAAAGAGTTACTACATCTCATCATTTTCAATGGATTTTAATTGGAAAAGAATACTTATACTAAACATGTAGACCAGCGACACTTCTAAATACATATATTTACCTTCGACAGTGTATGAAATGCAGTTTAATTCTGTAAATTTTAACGTGCACTCTATTTAAGAGCCATTGTCTGAGAAAAGTCGACAATGTACTGTGCGATCAGATACTTGATGTCACCGATCGGGCTATAATTTTTATCATATACAGAACCAATGTAGACTAGCTTATAGTCAGAAGATGATGCTCAAAAAATATTTTCTTCCCGAGCTATAGGTTATCGCTTTATATAGGTCGGGCCTGATGAAAACTCAATAAAGGCCACTGTTCTCCTGAATCATGCATATTTTTCTACGAAGTTTTCAGGGAAAATGCATCCTCATATGGACTATTTATCTTGAAATTTTTCAAAAAAATATTGAATCGTTCCGGAGAAATCTCGGTATTTCATGCATAATTTGTGACCAGTTTTCCTCCTTGGGTGAACGTGATCCAGACTTTAAAGGTTCAAGATGCGTAGAATAAAACGAGCTCTGTCGAAAACCAATTTTAACCTTCTAGCCAAAACGATTTTGGACACATTTTAAAGGTTTTTTCCTCAGCACCAGGCTTTTCGATATTGTAAAATTTTTAATACAATATCGCCAATCAAATATTTTGATGCAGTTCGTATGTCCTGGCTTGATAGAGCGAAAAATACTTTCAAATGAGACCTCTCCACACCCAGTACAATGCATCTTTATTGAACTATTGTTTATCTTCGTAGATGTAACGCATCTGAAATTCAAAATCATAGCAAATATTTTTTTTCGATGTATTCGCATATGGTTGATTAGAGCACATTGAGCGGAGTAAGAAAAAGTGGTAAAGTGGTTCTAATTTTTCGTAAAGCTTTTTAAGGAAGCAAATTTGTAAAAAATCTAAGAATCTAAAATTTCCACTTTTTCTTCGATCTCTAGAAAAAAACTTTTCTTTTCTATTGTATTTTTCGCATTTTTAACGGAAACAGATGACTTTCTGTTAAATACTTCAAAATATTCCGTAAAATTACCAAAATATATTTATACTGCAGTGTTTCTAGCTTAGAAATCAAGTTAGAGTGATTATATTCGAAAATCATAATTGAAAACTGCTCAATGTTAATATAGATTAATCAAATACCTGCGTTTTCTCCTAGTGAATAGACTCTTTCTACAGCAAAAAGCAACAAAACGCTCAAAGATTCAATGTTTTCTTATTTTATATTTCTGACAAAGGATTATTCTTTTTCTTTTCAAACAGCTTTAACGCAGTTTCATAACTCGACTGAAATATTCTTATTTTTGTGTTATAAGTCGTTTATTCCTTCTCTACTTCAAATGCAGATTAATAATTACATCAACATTTGAATATATATTTGCATGCCTGGATTATA